AGGAGGGAGCTGATGGGTTTCTCCAGATGGTGCCCCGCTGACCCCAGCTGTTCCCCGTCTTCAGCTCTTCCTTAGAAAAACACGGCTCGGGCCAGCCCATCGATTAATGATTTCCTCATGTTCCCCCTGCACAGCCGAGGGGGGAAGACGTCTCCCTGCTCCTCAGGCCCTGCTGAACTGAGCCCCCTGCCTCCCTATGCCCCCAGACCCCACACAGGTGCTGCATATCCTGTGCACACAGGGAGCATGTGTTTAACCAGTGAATTGTGCCCTTGTAAAGATGAACAAGGAGATAGGTTGGATGAAGGACTATATGAACAAATGAATGAATGACAGGTAATTAATGCTGATGTAATAAGTGCCCCTAAGGCTGGTAGAAATACACTAGGCATATTGAAGAACAGCACATTTCTCACAGCTTTGCAAGGACAAGAGGAGCTTGGAGCAGCTAAATTCCCCAAACTCTTGTTTGACATAGTCATGAGTGGGAAAAGTGTGCCCTGCTCTGGTCCTACAGCCTCTCTGGAAGGAGCCTGAGTGAGTGAAAGAGCCCTGGTTGAGATTGGGAGGACAGGAGGAGGGCTGGGAATTGCAGAGGCTGTGCTTTGCTTAGGAAGCAAAATTTAGGATGTTAACGAGACTTGTGAGGGTTGTAAAGTGCCAAGTAAAACACCATGCTTGGGTAAGGGGTGATGGACAGAGTGCTGCAGTACCAAGGGCATGGGACAGAGGATGTGGCACTGGTTGGATGGACAAGATGTGGTTGGTTGGACAGGTCACCACACGTGAGGAGTAGCAGCAGGCTGTAGTTGCCTCATACCATGTCCACAGGTGGCAAAGTACATCTTGTCCATATTATTAACCATAGAAGCCTGAAGAGCATGGGCTGGCAGAGCCACCATCACTGCTCTCTGACAGCTGAAGCCACTACTAAGATCCACTTGGATCTGCATGGTAGCATGGACAGAAGTTGTTCTGTGTACCAGAGAGCATCAGGAGAACAAGGACAGCAAGACCAGGTCAGACTGTGACAGGGGTCACTCTAAGTAGGTCTTGCCTCTTCTTAGAGGCTCAGCTCCTCAGCAGGAAGAATATTCCCACACCCCAGCAGTGAGCTGTGCCCTGTTGACCAAGCAAAATGCTCTTTGCTTGATCCTATTTCACCTAAGGAACGTGTTTTCCTGTCTGATGCAGTCAATTTTTTTTATGTGGACTTTGGTTACCAAGAGCAAAATGATGTAAAATACTCTACACATGTGGACATTTGTCTGTCCACTCAGGCTGGGGTTCAGCTGTTCAAACTCCTGTGCTCTCTCATGAGTGGAGCTGGCTGGACAACACAGAAAAAGAGCATTGGGTTTTCTGTAGTATTCTCACATTTTGTGTCTTTCCTTGGCCAAATTCCGGGTTTTCATGGAAGATGTCCACTGGTGTTTTGAAATGAGAAAAATTTCAACCAGCTGCAAAATTCAGTCCCAAAGCAGGGGGGGAATTGCAAACTCACCTCTCTTTCCGCTGCCTTTCTGTCTCAAATGCTTTGCCCCAGCTGAATACTGGGAAAAGACCTGTTAAATAAAAAAAAAATCACAGATGGAAATGTGCGTTTTGGCCCTTCCCACATGGGCCAGCATCCGCCGCCTGCAGCAGCCGGTCCCAGCACGGGGCTTCTCGGCACAGTCAGCTCGGCCAGCTGCTGCATGGGGCGGGGGATCCGTGCTCGAGGAACTGGGAGTGCACCAGAGTGCACCAAAGGCTTTTCAGATGCTTTGCTGAATTAATACTTTTTCCCTTGAAGAGTTATTTTGGAAAACATATGGCTTTGTAGTGCTAAGCAGAGCTTGCACTGTCTCTCTCTCTTGCCCTTGCAAAGCCCATAGCTGTTGGCTGCAGCCACCAGGACTGTGTGACATATCCTGCCCCCTGCCCTGTGTCACCCACAGCCTCTGGCTGCTTCCAGTGGTGTAAAGCACTCCCCACCACCAAAGAGGTGGACAGGGCTGGGTGGGTGCTGGTGGGTGTGGAACTGCCCCTGGATTTGCAGCCCTCTGCCAAATGATGCCTTTGCTGGTGTGTGCTCCAAGCCCTGCCCGATCTATAGGGCAGGATGAACAGCACCTCTGAGCAAATCCACAGTGCCTCCTTCACTGCCCTTTGTGTCCTGGCACCAGCTCAGGGTGATCCAGCTACAGTGTCCCAGGTGCAGCCAAACCCATGTGCAGTCCTCAGTTCCCAGCTGATCGTGCCAAGCAGAGGGAGAGGAATAAGAAAGGTGAATTCTTGCTTTGGACATGGAGGTGACATAAGCAAGAGAAGTCAGGAAAAGTCCTTCAGGGATCAGATTCAGTGAAGAGTGTCTTCCTCAGTCTAGACTCAGTGCAGAGTGGCTTCCTCCAGTCCTTCAACCAGGATTTTAGGACATTCCCCAGCCAAAGGGAAAGAGGGAGAGAGGGAGAGAGGGAGAGAGGGAGAGAGGGAGAGATCTCCTCTCCTCAGCACAGACCATGGGGTGGTGGTTCTGCTCTGGCATCTCTGATCTGCCCCAGCAGGACACTGAGATGCCATCTGGGAGCCATCCTTCCTCAACAGTCCCAGATGGCAGAGGTGAAAGAAGAGGAAAGAGCTGCTGAGAGGACAAATGAAAAACTCCAATCACCAAAATCCTCAAAGAGTTTTAGGTGCCCCACTTCAGTGGAGGAGAAATCAGGTCCCAAAGGAAACCCTGGAGTTCCCTGCCTGAGAAGGCTGTGCCCAGTGTTTTTGGGGAACACAAACACATTGTGCCTCTCCTTGCTTCGAGAAACCACATGCTGCGGAAGCCCTGTCCTGAGAAGTATCCATGCCCATGGAACAGTGGTGCTGCCCTGCTCTTTCTGGGCTGTGGCTGCTGAGAAGAGGGGTCAGAGAACCCCCACACCCCATGGAGTGGTGTTGAGGGATGATCCTGATGAAAGTCCTGCCCCTACACACTCAAAGGGTGTTCCACCACTGATCTCTGTGTGAGGACTCCTGCATTTGTCCAGAGAAGCTGTGGCTGTCCCATCCCTGGCAGTGTCCAAGACCAGGTTGGATGTGGCTTGGAACAACCTGGTCTAGTGGAAGGGGTCCCTGCCCATGGCAGGGCTTGGAAGAAGGTGACCTTTCAGGTCCTTTCCAACCCAAACCATTCTGTGCATGGGGTTGGAGTGAGCCTGAGCCAAGGGCAAGTCTGGTGAAAGCAGTCATGGGAGGAAGAGGAGAACTGCGTGGCCCAACTACATCAAGAGCCATCTCAAGTCAGAGGCCAATAGTCTGTGACAATCCAACAAGAGGAGCCAGACATGGGAGGGTCCCCTCAGCTCAGACAGAGCAGGGAAGAGGGTCTGTGTTGGGAGGGGGATAATATCAGCTCATCCAAACCCAAGTGGTCCCACCTACCCATTACGCCTCAGCTTCTAGCCTCCCCACACCTCTGCCCATGCCATTTGTAGGCACACATAGGACCTGAACAATGGCACTGCAGGCCCTCCACAGCTCTGAAATGTCACTTCCAGCATCTTCAGCAGCTTCACCAATGCACCTGCATGTCCACACAGACATCCCGAAGGCCTAGATCCTCACTCCCCAAATTCCCTTGTCCTGAAACCCAACAGTGCTCCACTAGTCTCTTCAGCTGGAAGCTCCAGCACCACCCTGGGTTGCTGAAGCCCAGAAGCACCACCCTGGAATGGGGAGTCCACACAAGCTGCCGTGGGCTAGAAAGGGTAAAGTTTCATGGAAGACCATTAGGCTACAACCCCTCACTGAAGCCATTCCATAAGCAAGGCAAGGTTTGTGTGGAAAGGAATATCTATTGTCAGAGCACCTATTATTTCTATTTGTATTTATTAAGCCAAGACCGCTACAATCTCAACATGGGAAGATACTGGTGTCTGTTTAACCAGAGACTAATACATAGTGAAGAAGATATAAAAGCCTAGAGGTGGATCAATGAAAACTCTTCTCTCTTCCTGTCACCTCTGCCTTGTGCATCTCCCTTGGACAACCTTGGCCACAGCAATTCTTCCCAGGAGAGCACATAGTTTGGTCAGTTATGAAGATGCACACCAAGGCAGATGGTCACTTGGTGTCATCTCAACAGAAACAGGTGGAATTATGTCAGTTGGTACCAGAGAATACAGGCACACAGACCTGGCTGGATGGATGATTATATACACAATGGCTCCGGCCAGCCTGGCCAGTCCAGCTCAGGTTCAGATGGAGCAGGTGGACATGGGAGGGGAAAATGGTGTGTCCAGGTCCTTCTCACTGAGCTGTCTGGACTAGGCACCAGGACAGTGGCAACCAGGGGTTGCCAGGTCTGTCCCTTTCTCCCCGGTGGACACAGTCCTGCCTGGTAGTGGCCACCAGCACACTGCCAGGGCATGGCTTCTCCCTATGGCACTGCAATACTGCACAGGTCCTGCCCCAGCCAGCAGCACTGGTCCATGTGAGCCCAAGGTCTCCGGGGAATCAGGCCTTGTAAAAGTTCATTTGTCCTTCCTGGTGGAGGTCCTGGGGCTGGACACTCTGCAGCACTGGACAGTTTCCACTCAGCCTGCCCACACTTCGGAATGAGGGACAGAAGACTCTGACCTCCTGTTCCTCCTGGTCATGGAGAAAGGCAGAGAGAGGTCTGGCAGCAGCACATTTTCAGAGTGAGGAAGAATCATACCCTGGATGCTGGAGAAGGGAGAGCTGTCAGCTGAGATGTCAGCACTGGGCAAAAGACAACTGTGTTAAAGGGAATATAAAAGCCTTGAAAATGAGCTCCAGAATGCCCGGAGCAGGACACCAATCCCCTTCAAGCTCCTTCAGGTGACAGGCACCCACAGGACCTTGCTCCACTTTGCTCCTCATTAAAGGTTTGTCATTACTGCATAATTTTTAATACACACTTAGAGAAAAGGACTGACACGCACACCCACCCGTGCACACGCACACAACAGGAAACCATTGCCAAAATATACACTATAGACAAAGAGTCCATTCACACTATGTATATGTACAGAGTCTGTGGGCGCAGTCTGGCAGCACCCAGCTGGGCTGGGGCTGGGCATGGGGGACAGGGTGGGTGCAAACCCCTCAGGGCTTCACACACTTGCCCTTCTTCTCCCTCCGCTGCAGTTTCCGAAGGCGGCGTGTCCACGCATCCCGCCACTGGATGACCAGGCTGTTCTTGTCGGCCATCAGTCCGGGCCGGTCAGTGGAGTTTTCGCTGATCCCCATGACCAAGTACTTCTTGCTGATCTGGATCTTGGGGCACTTGCAGGACAGGTCTTTCAGGTGGATCCACAAAAAGTTGTCACCGCGCTTGACCCGCTCATCACGGCACTTGTAGACAGAGAGGATGTTGATGGTGAACTTTGCCCAGTTGGCCACTGTCTCCATCTCAAGGATGTTTACCTGGACCACTGAGGGTAAAAAGGGAGAGGCACAGTCATGGGGGATGCTTTGCTTTGCTCCCCAAAGGAGCCCTTTCCAGCAGCCCCACCTGCCTCATCCATTGCAACTTTGGGAGGGCTGATATGTGGACCTCTCTCTGTATAGAGTGTCTCCCAACCCCTGGATGCTTTCATCTGCCCCACCCACAGCCAGCCCTCATCTGCCTCTGGGCCAAAGCCCAGGGTAGCTCAGGGAGGTTGGAAGTCCTTACCATAGTCCTTCTTGCAGTATTTCTTCATGTTAATCTTGTAGTTGCCCTTGGCTGGTTTGCAGTAGGAGTCACAGTCTGCGGCAGAAGAACATGGGTTGAGCACTGAGGGGCTTGAAGAAAGTGGGGACTCATCCCACCACAGGGGAAGAGGGAGTGGGGTGGAGGGGACAGCAGCAAGACCCAGCCTGGCAGAAGGTGGTGGGTACTTGACTCCTCCTGAGCCAGGGCCTGAGCACTGCTGGGGACAGGGTTCTGTTGAGTCCAGCTGCTCCCCTGGCACCTCACAGGGGCTGGGGGCTCAAAGACCAGCACAAATGGCTGATACCACATCAGCTGGGAAAAGTAACCAAGTGGCTTTGGGTGCATTGAGCAGACTCTGTCACTTGTGCTGATGGTGTCCTGCAGGATAAGTCAGTACAGGGGTATTGGAGGAAGCCTGGGGACTCCTTCCAGACACAGAAAGGGATAGATGGGAGGAATGCAGGTGAGGTGCTAGTGGCCTCCATGGAGGGCTGGCAGGGGCTATGGCCAAGGAGAGTCAACAGAACAGCTGTGACCCTGAAGTCCTGGGGGATGTGGGAAAAGAGGATTTGGCACCAGTCCCAAAATCAGCCGCACAGGGGCCACATCCAAAGGCAGGTGTGACACCAGACCAAGGGTGTCACAATCCTCAGAGTGATTCAGCTCTCAGGGGCCAGAGTGGTGGGAAGCACCCTCAGGGGGCAGCCCCTCCAGGGACCTGTGCCTCCTAAGTTCCCACAAGTGAGGAAGGGGACTCAGGTTGTGGGAAGGAGACAGGTGAGGGAAGTAGCTCTGCTCTACCACATCACTCCTGTTGCCCAGGCATCCCCTGCTCAGGCTGCTCCAGAGGGGCTGGGGAGGCCACCAGGCTGTCCTCCACCACCCTGCTGTCCCCCAAGGCTCCTGTCCTCCAGGCAGCTTTTTTCTGTGCATTTCTAAAGCCCCCAGATTTGCATCTCAAGCAGAGGGAGGGCAGGGAATGCCTCTTTCCTTCTCCCCAAAGCCTTTGATCCCAACAATTGCCCGAAGCAGCCCTGCTCTCCTTCTTTCTTTACCCTGCCATCTTCCTTTGAACATCTCAATTTGTCTCTTTCCAAATGGCATGTTTTTTTCTGAGCCCATCTTTCTTCTTTTCTCTGCCTTTTGCAGGTTCTCCCTCTGGTTTGGCCCCGCATCCCAGGACAGAGCCAGCAGCCTCTAAAGTTTTCTTTGTTTGCGGGTTGCCACAGTGATCACTGGGGATGGAGACAAAGCTCTGGGGGAAGATGGGGAATAACAGAACCCTGTGCCAAGGGGAGGAGGAGAAATGAGGAAAGAAAGAAGCCCAAGAGCACAAACTCACCCTGGGCTCTGCTGTTCTCCTCTCTGCCCAGCTCCTTTTTATCTGGGACTTCATGCCACCTGTTCCAAATTTGTCAGTGATAGAAGCTGTGCAGCGTGAAGCTAATTCTTGGCAGAGGGGGATGAGCTCTGATTCGCAGTTCAGCCCTCCCATGCTGCCACACCGCCCCTGTGCCTGGGCTGGCAGAGCCGCCTTGGCCCCGCTGCCTGCCCTGGAACAGCCGAGGTGGCTACAGAGGGGGCCCAGGGCCTCTCCGTATGGGGGGTGGCTGCTGGGTGTGCTGGAGTGCTTGGCCTGGCACTGAAGGTGCCCTCACCCACTGCATCCCTGGGATGTGCTACAGCCTCGGCCTCGCCTGCTGTGCTCTCTGGGAGCTCTCTGTGCTCTCTGTGCCCCATGCCAGGGCCCACAGCAGCCCTGCAGACAGGCCGCAGGCCCAGCCCCACGCACCGCTCCGCCCGCTCCTGCTCCATGCAAGGGGCTCTAGGGAGAGCCTCCCACTTTATTTTGGGGAGCGCCCGTCAGGACAGGAGCCCCTTTCCTCCCCAGGCAAAGGGGCACAGAAACCATCCTGCCCCTGGCAGCAGTTGCCACAGGCCTGCCCATGGACACGGGCACGGTGGGGAGGAGGGTGGCATGGCCTGGGGGCTCACTGCAGCGTGGCCGGGGCTGGGTGATGAGTGCTGGGCCGGTGGAGTGTGGGGTGATGTGTGGTGGGAAGAGGCTGTGGGGAGCCTCAGCCAACCTGCCACCCCCTTCCCTTGGCAATGGGGATGAAAGAAAAGCAGAATGAAATCCTGTAGCTGCCCTGGGCTCCTGCTCATGATTAACCACATAACACTGTGATTCAAAGGAGCCAGAAAATGGTGTTGGGAATTAACAATTTAGGATTAGTTTAGGGATTTTTTTAAACCAGCTTTGTGCTGTGGAGGAACATTCCTCAAATGTAAAATCAATTCCTGCTCCACTTACCTAAGAAATTTGGGAATAAAAAAAAAAGTCAAAATAAGTGGAAACATTTCCATTCCTTGGCCCTGAGCACATGGCCACCCCCATCACTGGGTGTGGGGCAGACATGGGTGCTGTGGTTGGAAAGTGGCAAGGGATGTCAGGGCAGAAGGATTCTGCCTGCACCTCCCCAGACTGCCTCTCCCTGAGCATCCTGTCCTGTTCCTGCAGGGTTTTGCCATGGGAGGGCTCTAACACTGCTGCATCCCTGGGAGATGCCACAGGTGCAGAGCGGGAGGAGGCAGCTGAGAACCAGAGCCACTGGCCTGGTGTGGGCATTCCCCATCCCTGTGGGGAGTGCGTGTGAGGGAGGTGGCAGGTTTGCACATCTGGTTTACTTCTCCTCTCCTTGAAAAAAAGGAATATTTTGTTTTAAGAGAGATGTAACTTAATCAGGTGCTATGACTGCAAATCTTTTACTGCTTACTTTGAATTCCCTTAAATCCCTGTTTTGCGCTCCACGAGTTTTGTTAATTCTGCTAATGGGGAACGTGGATTTTATTTTTTTTTCCACTAAGTGGAAAATATTTTAAGATAATAATAATAAAAATTATGAGAAGTGGACCCAGGACGTTTCATCACCAAGCCAGTCAGTTGCTCAGGCACAGACATCAAAGCTGGACCTCAAAGGCTTTGGAAGATTGGAAAGGCAGGAAAAAGCTGGGAAAAGTGATGCAGAAGATGGCAATGTCAGTGAAAAGCCTGGACACACCCAGACTGAACCCAGCATGGAGGAGGATGGGGAGAGGGCGGGAAGCCCAGCACCTGAGCATGGCAGCCCTGAACAATGTCCCCCTGTTCCTGCAGCCAGCACCTGCTGCCAGAGGCAGGGTGGGAGGTAGGGAAATGGGGGGAGAAGGGGCTTGGAGGCTGCCTGAGGTGCTGAGGGCCCTTTGGGGAGTGCCCTGCTCAGGGACAGCTGGGGGCTCCTGGGGGCAGAGGGATGTAGGTGGAGGGGCATCAGGGAGCAGGCAGGGTGTGGGTAGAACTGGCAGCCCTGCTTGCAGGACAAGTACACCAGGTGCAGGTAACCCTGGCAGTGCAGCCAGGGCAGCACCAGTCCCCACCTCTGATCCCCCCAGTGAAGGGAGCAGCAGGACCCCCACTGGGTCCCCTGATCCTCCAGTGGCACTGGCTCTGGGCAGAGGCGGCTACATTGCATTAAGAATTTTTGAGCTAGAAGCCAGAAATCTTAAACCAACAAACCCACAGATAAACTGGAGGCAGTTTGAGGCACACCCGCTCCGCTAAAACAGAGCAAACAACCCAGCTCTCTGCCAGTGCTGTTTATTTTTGTGCAGCTGAACAGCTCAGACATCATTGTGAGACTGTTCCTATTTATAAAGCACTGGAGGGGAGTCACCTTGATTAAGTGCTCCACACTGTACTCTCTGCTGGCAATAAAACCGGCCAAATCTCTCATTCCATCCCCCCATTTTTTTCCTTTTCCCAAAGGCTGATGTTCTCAGCTCTCTCCACAGTTGGCAGGGTGGGCAGGGCAGGCAGGAGCAGAGGTGGTGGTGCTTTGTCCTGTCCCACACAGCTTCCCCCAGCAGTGGTACCATCACTTCAGCTCAGCATCTTCCCATCGGGCAGGATGTGGACTCCAGGTCTCATCACTCCCCCTCTGCCACAGTGAGGAGTGAAACCTCTGCCAGATCCAGGCAGGGCTGCTCCTCACTGTCCTGAAAACACCCTCTCTTTTCCAGAGCTTCTGGGGCAGGGCTGTGAGGGCTCAGCAGTGCCCATAGGTGCTGGGTGGGGTGCCAGGCTGTGCAGAGCTCCCAGGCTCTGCACTACTCCTTGGGATCCACGTGTGCTAAGCCAGCACTGCCCTGTAAGGAGCTACAGGTTCCTCCTTGTGCATCTCCCCCCTCCACCGCCATCCACACACTTTACTCCTGCCAGAGGAACACAGAATCATTAAGGTTGGAAAAGGCCTCCAAGACCATGAAGTCCAACCTTGAACCAAATACCACCATGCCCACTAAACCACATTGCAAATGGACACATCTACTTGCTCTTTGAACACTTTCAGGGATGGTGACTCCACCACTGCCCTGGGCAGCCTGGTTCACTGCCTGACAACCCTTGCAGGGAAGATGTCCAACCTGAATCCCCCCGGCACAACTTGAGGCTGTTTCCTCTTGTTCTATGACTTGTTCCCTGGGAGCAGAGCCTGACCTCCCCCTGGCTGCCCCCTCCTGTCAGAGAGTTGTAGAGACAGAAGAGGTCCCCCCGAGCCTCCTTTCTCCAACCTGTGCCCCTCCATCTCCTTCAGCTATTCCTCATCAGACTTGTGCTCCAGACTCTTCTCAAGCTCCTTTCCCTCCTCTAGACATGCTCCAGCCCCTCAGTGTCTGCCTTGTTGTGAGGGGCCAAAAATTCCATCTCTTCAACACAGCTCATCCCTGGCTCTCTGCTGCAGCCAGCAAGATCACGCACAGGGCTGCAGCAGCCATCCTGGAAAATGTTCCCAGAGGGCTGGAGAGCACATCCCAGGCACACACCAGCCTGGGAAGAGGCTGTTGGCATTTTCCACTGCCAAGGCAAGGTGGTCATGGTAAGGAGAGCTGGGGAGATGGATACAAACAGAGCACTGCCTCTCCAAGAAAGGAGTAGGCTTCCTTGGGATAGGTGTACCCCAAACAGGGCATAGGGAAGTTGCTCATTAAATATGGGTGTGGGGAGCTGGAGGGGCCGCTGCTGTCTTCACAGGAGCATGTGCCATGGGATGGAGAGGAGGATTGTTTGGGACGTCTATTCCAATACAGTGGAATGCAGGGGAAGACCAGGCTCTTGGGGACAGCAGGAGGAGGGGTGGCCCAAGGAGGGAAGGGGCTGCTTCTTTCCCAGCTTTTCCCCCTCCACCTGGCTTGAAATCCCTCCAGGTGATAGACCTGGTATGACTGGGAACAGCCACACTGCAGTGCTGAAGGGACTGCACAAGGAAGAGGAGGGGAGGGAGGAGAGCCTTGCTACAGCCCTCTCTACCCTGCTGGGTGCATCCTGCAGCACTGGAGGGCTCAGCATGGTGGCACTGGATCCAGGGGCTGGCACAGCACTGCCTGGTGCCACTGGGACCTGCCATGACAAAGTGGGAGCTCAGGGCACTTGGGTGGGACCTTGGTCCCTGGACAGGCTGGAAGAAGGACCCTAATCCATCAGCACAGGGAGCATCCATATACCCAGCAGTGCCCAGCCCTAGCCAAGCCTCTGCAGGAGAAGTGAACCTGCAGCTTGTACTGAGATGCCAACCTTCCCACTCCAGACTGGGGAACCAGGGCAGCTCTTGAGGAGCTCTGAGGACCACGGCAGCAATGCCTCCCTACGCTGTGCAAGGCCTGCAGTCTGTCAATGGATCTGTCACCTCCTCTGGGTGACCACAGCAGTGACACTGTCCAATTAACCATGATCCCATCACCCTGTGCAGCCAGGACAAGCAGCTCATACCCAGACCCTTCTCTGCTCCAGACCTGGATGATGTGAGCACCGTGTCACCCACGTCCCAGGGGAGACCTGGCAGCCTTTGCCCCAGCACAGGGGCCCTGGAGCCTGCCTGAGACCAACGAGATCCCCCATGCCCCAGCACCTCCCAGAGAGCTGGGGTCTTGCAGAGGCCAAGGACACTCAGGAGAAACTTCTTGCACTGGCGCTGATAAAAGGAGGTTAAGCAAAGCCAGCCCCCATGCACCCACTGGTGCCATATGCCACAATCCCTGCCTTAACCTGCCAAGGGATGGCAAGGCCCCAGTGGGCTGCATCCTGCTCTTCTCCTTGGAGGTGATGGAGGAAGCCTTGCCTGAAAAAGTCCATCAATCTTAGTCAGCTCCTCTCCAGAAATACACAAGATTTTAAATCTCAGTCACATCTTTCACCAAAATTTTTTACCATTAATTTTTTGCCAAATGGTTTGGTAGAACTCAGCCCTCCCCTGTGCTGTGCCAGGCAGAGGGAAGGTGGGATCTGCACCCCGGTCTCTCAGTAGGGCTGAGGCCATGGACGTGGCCAGGGACATGCAGCACTTACCTGCAGGTGCCTCTGTGCTGGTGACTAGGGAGGTGGGGTTGATGGCAGGAATCTCTGGAAAAGAAATGAAGAGGTATCTTAAGGTTGAGATCCCCAGCCCTGGGGGTGACAACTGGGCAAAAGCCCTCTGAAAATGGGCCACAAGGAGATTTTGTTGGTCACAAATGAGAGATGATGGGAGGAATTTGAGCTGACCATTGCAGACCATTGAATAGACCTGGAGATGCACAAACTGAGCTCAGTAAATTGGGTCAGGCTGAAATTCTGCAATCCCCAAGGGCCTGAAGCAGCTGTGGGGGGATGTGTGCTCCAGGGATGGATGCTTCCCGGGTGCTCAGCTCATCTGAACTGAGTTTGGACATCAGATGGGTGTTTGGCTGATCTCAGCACACTTCAGGCTGCCCAGCACAGGGATAAAAGTGGGAAAAGATAACACTTTCTCAGGACTCTTGGCAGAAAAACCTGGGCGAATTTCTTTCCTAAACTCAAATCTGGGGAGGAACAGAGAGAGAGGAGACAGCTACACCAGTCACCTACACTGCCACTGCTCCAGCAGCCCAGCAAAAGCTGCAGGGTGGGAAGTTGTTCCTCTGCCACTTGGGTCAAATTCAAACCCACTGTGACAATAAACACAGTTTCATGCTGACCACAGGCTCTGGCCTTGCCCCAGAAGAGACCGTACTCAGGGCTCAGCTGGGTGAGAGGGCACGTGCTGTACCAAGGATGGGACCCAGAAGAGCTGTTTCAGCCACCTGGAAGCACTGACCCAAGGGGTCATCCAGAGCTTCCTGTGCTGGGGCAGGTGAAGCCCAGGTCACCCCAGAAAGTGATCAGAGAGTCCTACTTGACCACTTCCTGGAGAACATCCATAAGGACAGACAGCCTCTTGTCTGAGCCTCCCACCCACCACAAATCATCCAAGGTGAGTGGGGGACCAGGGGGCATCCCCTAGTGCCTGTGGGGATCCCTGAGTGCAGGGCAAGGCGTGGGGCACTCACTGATGCAGGGGGCCACTGGCGAGCGGCTCTGCTGGTAGCCCTTGGCACAGCGGTTGCAGGTGAGGCCGGTGACGCCGTCCTTGCACGGGCACTGCCCCGTGGTCTGGTTGCAGGTCTTGCCGGCCGCACCGACTGGGTGGCAGTCGCATGCTGGGTGGGAGAGAGAGAAATGGTTATGTGAGAGGGGAGGCACAACACAAACCCCAAACTAGACCCAAGGTGCAGTCCCAGAGCGGTGGGGGACCCTTCCAGAGCACCACTGGAAATCAGCTTCTGGGGCTGGCACAGCACAGACCCAGCTGGACCCATAGGTCTGGACCAACCGTGGCCCCACATGTGCTGTGAGGAGCACGGGCAGGAGGGTGAGTGAATAAAGCGGTTGGCCAGGGCAGGCCTTAATGACAGGGATGCTCAGGAGGAACACCTGGAGCTTCTGCAATTCCCACAGGTGCCTGCAGCCACCAGCTGTCATTTAAAATCTTCCCCCACCTCAACTCCAGGGAGATGTTCCTGTTGCAGCAGTAAAAACCATTTTCTCCGCTCCCTCTCCTACCTCTGAGCTTTTCAGTCCATGGAGCTAAACCAACACTGGGTTTTTACACAAACCACAAACCTTGTCTTGGTTTTAGAATGCAGCAGGTTTTCTCAATGTTTCCCAAGCTCATAAGCCTCGATGCCCCTCCTGACTCCTGGAGACCCTGCGCAAAGGATGATGCCACACCTTTCTACCACAGTCTCTCTAGGGACAAACCACACCTGAGGTGGGTGAAAGTTGTCTTTGTTCTCAGAAGAATGCTCCACCACATCACACTGGATGATGGACCCACTGAGGGTTGTCTACATGGAGGGATGTGGGAAGGAGATGCTTGCTCAGAGGAGGACCTTCCCATCTGCTTGCCTGGAGCTGTGCTGGCAATGAGCTGGAGGAGGTTATCTTGGCCTCCATCAGTGTAAGAGTCGAACGTGATTTCAAAGCAAAACAAAAACATCTCCCCCACCCGCCCCCACAGCCCCCTGATGTTACCGTTTCCCTAATTTTCACCAGATGGGACTGGTGGGAGCACCATGGCACTTGAGCCCCCCTCCTGCACAGCCAGAAACCAGAGTGAGCAGCCTCTAATGGGGACCAGATGCTCCATCCTTATCAGATCTTGGCTGGGACTAGAAGCGGACATCTTTCTGACAGGGATATTTTGGGGGCTCAGCTGTGATAACAAATGGCAGCGAGCAAGGGAGTCTTGGCATGACACGGGGCTGTTGGAAACACAGGGCCTTTCTTGGGCCCCAGTGGTCTGTTCCTGGTGTAAAGTTTATGGACAGACATAAATCTCAGCCCAATCAGGATCCAGTTCATCTAAGCTGATCTCTCTGCATGTGGTGGAAGGCGGATTTCAGTGACTCCGGATGTTTTACCCAGATTGGTAAGTGCTCATCTTAAGTGCACAACCAATCAGTGTTATCGGGGTATCAGCTTGGTCTCTTCCAGACCAATCTCTGCCCACTTGCCCTACCATAGTGGGATTTCCCACAGTCCCACAAAAATACACTGTTCCCTCCCGTTCCCATGGGATGAGCATCCCAGGCAAGAGTGCTTCCCCGGATGGGTCCTGCATTGCAGCACGGTCCATCCAGGCACTGCGGCTTTAGCGTCTCCGTCCTTCCTCATCCCAAAATAACCTGTGGAGGGGGCTGGCTCAGGGAGCCTCTCCCAGCCCCAGAGAAGGCAGGCCTGAGGGCACGGTGCAGCTCTGCACTGCTGCCCACACACCGAGCCCTGCTGCTCCCAGCCTCTGGCTGCCAGGATCTGGCCCATGGAGCTTGAATGGTGGATTAAGTCACTAGCTTGGAGCTTAACTCATCAAGCTGTGCTTGCCAGAAAGCATGTCTTGCACCTCATTTTGAGGGTATTTTTGCATATTGAGGCTTAGCTGCTACTGCTTCACCAGTTTTCATTGGAGAAAGACTCACGGTTTACAGCTTTGTTTAAATTACTAGGATTAATGCACAGCCATCCTTTATTTGACTTTTCAATTAGCACCATTGAATTAATCCTGAAGGTTGCTCTGCCTTTTCCATCCTCCCAGCTTTTCCATCCCACAGGGTCCAGCAGTGATGCTGGCAGTGGAGGGAAGCACTCCTTGCTCACTGGCCAGCAGCTGAGGGCTCTGCTCAGTTCGACACAACCTGTATCTGGTATTTCTGTGCCTGTTTCAAGGATGCTACATCCCAGCAGAGGCAAACCATGGTTGAAGAATTATTTAGTAACACATGCTGGGGTTTCTTTAAATAAGATGTAGTAGTTCCTGGCCTCTGGGTTAGTAATTTGCCTCCTGAATATTAACTGAGCCATCTGCAGCCTGGTCTAGTGGAAGGTGTCCCTGCCCATGGCAGAGGATTGGAACCAGATGATCTACAAGGTCCCTTCCAACCCAAACCAGTCTGTGATTCTATGAGCATCTGCCTTCATTGTGATGCTCAGCCTCTACCCTGGGCCAGCGCTGTGGTAGGTGCAAAAGCCTTTGCTCAAATCCACAGCACACTGTTCCCATCCACCTGCTCCATGCCTGCTCTAAACATCCACTGAGAGGATCCTTGCTTTGCCTTTTTCCTGAGTGTAGATACCTGAGCTGCAGGTATGCGACACATCTTTGGAAAAAACAAGTCCAAATTGTCTTGTCACACCTCTGTGTATTTGTATGCCTCTCTGGGAGCACCAGCTCTCCATTGCCAGCACCTGGGACCTTGCTCCTCCTCAAAGGAGCTCCCAATCCCAGCAGATCCACCTCTATATAAGGGAGGGGTGGAAATACTTTCTGCTTTACTGAAGGAGGAGCAGCCAAAGAAGCAGAAGCATCAGGGATTTTATTATTAACTCTGATCTCCAAGGGAGAACCAGGAACTGGCTCCCCAGACCCAGGGTACCACCTTTGCTGCCAGATCCTCCTCAACATATGCACCATGGCAGGGGTCGGCCCTGTGCACATGTTCATCTGGCTCGGCTGAGCTTTGCAGCACTTCCAAACCACAGGCAAACCCTGCCAGCCCTCCGGAAGCAGCATCCCCCACCCAACCTGGCAGAGCCCTGCCCGTGGCTTGGCACAGGGACAGAGGTTTGTCTGCAAGGGGGCACCTGTCCCACTCCTCTGCTCCTCTGCAGCCCAGGCACTGCTGGCTGCCATTTCTCCTGTGCTGTAGCATCTGCACTCAACATATCCCATCAAATCCTAGGCATCCTCGGATTCTTTGCCCACCCTGTCCCCTCCAGAGGAGCCACCTTGGATCAGAGATACTTTCCATCACTGTAATGCTGCACAATTACTGCCCTGTGAGGGTGGTGGAGCAAGACTCACACTGACAAATGGTGGGCATATGCAGGTGAGAGCAGCCAGGCCCCCTCTGCCTCCCCCATTCCCTGCAAGGAGAAGGACTTGAGCCATAGCCAGGTAGGAAACATTGCAACCTGCAGCTGCCCTGCTCCCACAAACCGTGCTATATTCAGTAATCCTCCCTGGTCCCAGCCAAATCCAGCTTGATTTTTTAGGTTTTGGCATTTTTCTATTACTGCTCTTTGGTAAGTACTCTCTTTCCCATCTGGAGCAGAAATGGAGCCCCTCAATGCCCAGGGAAGTGGTGCTGGGGGCCCTGGAGAGGTGAATGCCTGCATGGCGTTCTCTTTGCTTGGTATTGTAACAGTTTTGGAGCAAAAGTAGAAGGAGCTGGTCAGAGAATTACAGAATATCCCAAGCTAGAATGAACCAAATATGATCATTGAATCCAACTCCTGGCCTTGCACAGACACCCCAACAATCCCACCCTGGGCATCCCTGGTAGTGCTGTCCAAAGGTCCTGGGGAGCCTGGGCAGTGCCCAGCACCCTCTGGGGGAAGAACCTTTCCTGATATCCAACCTGACCCTCCCTAATCCAAAGAAAAGCAGAAACCATTCCTTGGAAAGGGCTGGGAGGTGAGGTGCTGCCTGCAGGAGAGGAAGGCTGAGGTGAAGGCAGCACAGCCACCCCGGTGCCCCTCAAGTATTGGGGGAGAGCTGGGGCTGCCTGCCAGCCCTCAACACGTGACAGAATCCTTATGGAAAAGAGAATTTTGCTGCAGCTGCCCCAGTTTGGTGGTGCTACAGCAGGAGCTGTGGCTGCTGCCATCCATCCCTGGCCTCAGCAGAGCCAGGACCCCTCCTGGGAATGGGACACAATCTGGGATACTGTGCATAGACCATCAGGATGCATGCCTTGTCCTGCCTCCTCTTCCTCTCTACCAGTGTCTCCCCTGTGCCACCCTGAGGATGCTGGTCCCTGGCACAGCTTGGGACCTGGCTGACACCTGACACAATCTTCATCAGTGGTGTGGTGCCAGGGGCTGCCATAGCTGTGGCATGGCTTGGCCAAGGCCACGGGATAGAAACAGCTTGTGGTCCCTGGGAACACGAGCTGTGAGGGGGACATGTCAAGTCAGCTGCTTGGGTTGTTGAAAATGATTAGCTCAGTTTGCTAATGAGCTGGCTGCAGGTAGGGCTCCTCCTGCCAGTGCCCTCTCTGCCCTGCTCCCTGTGACACTGCACAAACATGGGAAGTTTCTCCCTTCACTCCATCCTCTCAAGCATTCCTGGCAGTAGCAAGGATGAGAAGAGGCACTGGCACAGACCAGGCAATGGAGGGATTTCCTTTATTATATCCCAGCCTGAATGAGCCAGACCTCCAACAGCACTAATGCACCTGACAGAGGAACCCCAAAAGTCAAATCCTTCAATTTGGGTCCATGCCCACAATGTTAGTGGTCCAAAACCAGCTCCAGTAATTCCTGAAGGCCCTACATAAACACACGAGCATTGTGTTCTTGCAGCAGTGAAGGGGCCCAGTGCCCACATGGCTGCAGAATGCATTGGAGAGAGATCTGAGAGGGACACTGTGCTCCCTTCCAGGAGGGACTCACAACCAAAGAGAGAAAAACAGGGATCAGGGATGAATTCTCAGCCTCTGAACAGCCATGGCTGACTTCCTGCCCATCTGATGTTCCATTCTGGATCTCAACAGTCCTTGGGGACAGGCAGGGTGTTTTCTTATCTCAAATTCTTTGGTGAAACTATTGTTTTGAAAAGGCTTCATAGACAGGCTGAGTAGGGAGAGGGAAGAGGAACCAGACAGGCTTGGCCAGGAGTTAAGAGGAGGGAGAGGAGAGGTACAGGTCCCATGACGTTTGGCACAGGCTAGGGACCTTGAGAGGTCAAGCTGCAGTTTGATGGCTTGGAGCCAGTGTGGCTCCTGGCCAGCTCAAAGCCAGTTACCAGGAGCCACGGTGTTCAGCATCTCCCCAAAAACAGACCCCAAGAGCCATCCCACAGCTGAAAAATACAATGTGGGGTCCAGCCCCACAGCCCACCTGGGAGATGTGACTTTCACCATCATCCCCAGCCCTCCAGAGCAGGGTACCCATGCTCCAAACATGTCCCAGACAACATCCATTTCAGAGGCAGGTTTCCAGCACATTTAGCCATGTCTACTGCAGCACCTCCCCAGCATCTCTCCAAACACTGACCAGTGGAGATAGTAACAGCAAACACACCAGAACCCTCCCAGGCAATCTGCTTTCTCCCTTCCTGTAATCCTCCTCCACCCTGAGTTGATGCTGGACTGAAAGTGCTATCCCTGCCCGGTGCCCTTGGGGTAGTAGAGGAGATCACAGTGGTGGCGGCTGGAGCTGACCTGCAGCTGCCAAGGATAGCAGAAGAAGATCCCAAGGATGGGAAGGGAGAGAAAGGAGACCGAGAGAGATTCTGTCACCCGTCTGCCCCCACGGAGCCCCAGCTTACCCTTGCAGGCTTTGCGGTCGGTGATGGCCTTGCTGAGGTCGCGGTAGAAGCCCTCCTTGCAGTAGTGGCAGTGCCTGCCCGCCGTGTTATGCCGGCAGTTGAGGCACACGCCGCCGCTCTTGCGCCCCGACAGCTTGAACAGCTCCATGTTGAAGCGGCAGCGCCGCGCGTGCAGGTTGCAGTTGCAGGCTGTGAGGGAAGGGGAGAGCATGAGGGCTGAAGGCGAAATTCAGGACCCTCTGGGTGGGCTGGAGCTGCCCTGGTGTCCCCCACTGCAGTGGGAGGTTGTGCTGGGACTGGGATGGACACAGCACAGTGCAGGTTGTCCCAGCGTGCCATCCAGATGTGCAGCACCCACCACCCTGTGGGGCCGGTGCCACGAGGTCCGGGCAGAGGAGGAACGTCACGTGTAGGAACTGGCACCACTCGGCTGAAGGCAAGCAAGTGTGGTATGGTGGGCTGCAGCTAGGGGGTTTGGCAGTGCCAGCTGGGCACTTGCAGCCCCATGGTCCTCTCTGCCCCTTCCCTGGCAGCTGGCTCTAGTCACATAGCCCACCTGGCCTTCCAGCAGGACCACCCACCTCCTGCCAGGCTGTGTGACAGCCCTCCCCTGCAACCGAGCCCTCAACTCTTTATATTTATGGCTCTATCTTGTGTGCACGAGCCACACACACAGAGAAACCCACACAGCAGCCCCTGTGTGCTCACATCCCTGTGTGTGCACGCACAAACATGCACGAGCACACGTGCTCACAAACATACCCATGAACATATGTGCACACAGATATGCACCAAAATACCCTCAGAGCTGTACACGTGCCCACGGGCAGGCACGCACAGATGTGCACAGAAACATCTGCACACCCTTACATGTGCACACAGAAATTAGCCCCGGGAAGCACACAGCCCTCCTGGCCGATTCCATGTGTGTGAGATAAAAAGGCAAAGCACTGCCTATTCCAACTTAACACTCTAGCAAAAAGATAATGGGAACAGCATTTCCTTTGGCAAAACGTGGCGCCCTGCTCCCCCAGCCCTGGCCCCCTCCCCGTGCTGGTAAATTGAGGTTGGGTGAGAGCTTTTCCAGGCGTACTGTGAAATTCATTAACGTGTTGGCCCAGCTTTAACTGCCTGGGCCTGGCCTGTGTGAAGTTGCCTCCCCGCAGCCGGCGGAGCTTCACCCGCACAGATCAAACACCGCCTTGCCTGCCCCGGCGCTCTCGCCATGGGCACGCTGCAGGGAGAAAGAGCAAACCCCAGCCATAAAATAGAGTTTTTTGGAGGCTTGAGTTGAGCAGAAGGTTAGTGCCAGCACACTCAAACCTCGGCTGCCCCCAGAGCTCCCCTGAGTTATGAGATTAGTGAGAAATCACATGGCAGGCATCAAAATAACACCCAGTGTGGCTGTAGTGCTTGTTCCTTTGGAGCTATTTTCTTTTTCCCTGGTGACAGTGAAAAATAGGGATTTTTAAGGCAAATTCTGGGTTGTGGTGTGTGGAGGGAAAGCAGCAAATACTGCCCAAGGCCCCAGGTAGCACAGGATGCTGTTGAACTGGGGATGTTGACATTCAAATAGGTTTTGCCAGGGCTGGAAGAGACAGTGAATTATCCTGACAGCCAGGGTGCTCTTGCAGTCTCCAGATAATGTGACAGGGACAAGACAAGATGGTGTTTGCTACAGAACTGTGGCAAAGGAGCAATTTTTGGGAGGAGAGGGGCCTTGTTTTCCCCTTGCAGCACTGAAAGGCAAGTTATGTGTCCCTCTTGGAATGCCCCCAGCACCTTCTAGGGAAGGAGAAAGGCTGGCAGCCCAGAGGGGAGGCGATGGGCAGTGGAGGAGAACTGTTGGGTAAATGATTCGCTGCCCTCGGCGCAGGTCCCTCTCTGCCTCCAGTTTAATTGGTGACAGAGTAACTGGCGGGGCCTTCTCCTGGCATCACTGACCCTGGCACGTCCTGATCTACCCCAGGGCCACCTCTCCCTCGGAACATGCTGCAGACCCTCTGATCATCCCAGGAGCTGGGTTTGGGGTAGAAACCTGCCCTGGTAGACCAGCATTATCCCCTCTCCTTCAGGCAGTGGTGCTGCCTGCTCTGGGCCAGTGTTAGTAGCTGCCAAGCCAGGATTCCAGAGCCAACTGGGGAACCTGGCTGGGCTTGGCCACCCCGGGTTGGGTGGCTGTCTCCACTCAGGAACAGGTCACACCAGCACGTATGGCAATCCCCTCACCCCTGGCGCAGCCATCCGGAGCTAATCGGGGCAGACAGGTCCCCCTCTTACCCAGCTAAATACTCTCACTGTTCCTCAGTACTGAGGCAGTTGTAAGCTCTGTCTGTCTCCCGTTAATCACTAATTAAAGGCTTGAATGTTCCCTGCTGTTTGGGGTATTAATAAGAATTTAATTGCACAGTTTGGGGCTAATTACCTGGTAGCTTGCTTCCGCCCTTGTACAGTATGCCCAATTAAACAATCATATGATCAATTAAACAATCACAAGATCTAATAATTTGCAATAATAGACTAATTAAACGTTGACACCTTGCAATGGAGCAATCTTTTGTCTCCCTTTTAATGGTGTTTGAACCCCTTCCCAGGCCCTGGCCACCCCAAAAGCTCTCCTCCTCCTCCTCCTCCAGGCTGCTGCAGACGTAGGAGCCTGGAATGACAGCACAAGGGGCTTTGGTACACAGACCCTGGCACGGGACAGGCAGCGCCATGCACCGAGGCACACGTGGGGCAGGCAGCGGAGCCCGCAGGGCAGGAGCAAGGCTCACCGCCCCTACAAGTTCCCTGGGAATAATTAGGGAAGGCAGCCGGATCAGCGAAACCCTAGACCGGCTGCTGCTGCCAACCCGCAGCAGATTTGAGCTACGCCCCTGCTTTGGCTGGAGGAGAGCCTGGCTGGGACGCAGGGCAGGACGAGGCTGCTCCTCTCGGTTCCACGGCAGCCGAGACCTGAACAGCCCCTTTCCTCTCATCCACACTGGCCCTCCATCCTGAAGAAGGTGTTGCGGGAGAAGGACTCACTCTGCTCCTGCCAAGAAGCAGCAGGAGAGGCCCCCAAGGAGCTGTGAGGGACAAGGCTGAGGCACTCCAGCCCCATCCCAGGAGGAGCAGGACTCAGGATGGTCAGACAAGTGTAAATCTCCTCTGCCGGGGTGGCTGCCTTCCCCTGCACTCCAGATCCGCTGCGACTCGGGGCGGGGGCTGGGGGGGACACTGTGCCTGGTGCTGCTGGGAACTCACTGGTTTCCAGCACGTCTGCTGGGGAGCAGGTGCCGAGAACCCTGTCAGGGGAACTCCCAGTGGAAGGGAAAATGCACAGGAAGTCTCGTCTTGGAACCCCTGACCCCCATGTACAGAATCCCAAACCTCCCTGTACAAGGTTCAAACCCCCCCTGTACAGTGCTCCAAAATTTTTCCCTTCACCCTGTGATTGCTACTACTATGCTACTTAAACTTTTGTGACCTGTAATCCTTCATATAAGGTTGGTAATTTGCTCCATGAGTTTAGATCAAATTTCCAGGTGTCTTTGGCTTCCTGCCAGGGTCTCCGAGCCCCTGCCAGGGCTTTGAGACATCCAGAGAGATGTCCTGGGTTCGACAAGGAAGGGGCACAGGGCACAAGGGAATTACATGTGATCCTCCAAATCCCACCACCGCTCCGGGGATTGGTGTTTTCAGGCACCGACATCCCGGGTGGAACACCACATCCCCCCCGAGCAGCCTGCGAGGTTTTCCCAGGAGAGCGCCGCCCCTTCCCCGCCGAGGCCCCGGATCAAAGCAAGCCCCGGGCATTATCCTGGTGCTCCGGGTGTGCTCCTGCCGCGGCGGCCACAAAGGGAACAAGGGCTCCCGCATCACCAGCGAGTGCATCAATTACTTCCAGTGACTGCCTCGTGCTAATCCGCTTCTCCTCCTTCCCCGGGCCGGGTGTCGGGGGGCCGGGCTGCCCCCAGCAGCTCGTGGGTGCAGGCTGAAACCGGCAGCGGTGGTGGGGAGGCGGAGGTGCAGAGATAAAGATGGGGGGTCCCCAAGATTCTGGCAATCCTGCTCCTGCCAGCCCCTCTGCTGGGATTATCCTTCACACAGCCTGTCCCAGGCTAAAAGCTGGGGGGATGCATTGGTGGGGACACGTCCCTCTTCCCTGCCCTGGCCACACAGAGCACCCCGGTACTGGCAGGGCAAGCTCCCTGTGGGACATGCAGCCCCTGTGGGGTGTCAGGAGAGCCCCCTGTGCCTGCGGGCCGATGATCTCCAACCACCAGGCACGAGGCTGTGCACTGTGGGGCACAAAGCTGGCACGGTGCCCTCTTGCCAAGCCAGCAGCTTGGCAAATCCACTGTCACTGTCCTGGCTGTGACAACCCCAAATGTCCCTGCTTGCCAAACTGATGCTGACCCCCTCAACACTGCAGCGCAGTGATGTCCCCACAAACACTACAGTCACCCTACGGCAGCCGTGCTGAGGCTGTGCCCTGTGCCAGTGCACAGAGCTCAGGTAGTACTTGCCTGTTTCACCTGTTCATTTCCCAGAGACACAAATGCCAGTGAAACAACAAATGTTTGTCCTCACCTCCAGCTGAATGGATGCATGTCCCAGCATCATGCCATGCTGTAGGACACCAGTTTATCCCTGTCTGGAGCAGACTCCCATGCACTGGACTGAGAAAAACCCCCATGCAGAGTGCTGGGGAGCACAGAGCCAAGAGCTGACACATCCCAACATGACCTGAAGCTGTACCAGGCCCATGGATCCATTCTTAGCCCCTCTCAGGGCGCTGCGATCCCCCACCCTGCCCCTGTCACTGAGCTGCCAAGCCCCAGCATCCACCCACTCTCCTCCTCTTCCTCCCCGCTCCCCAGCCACGTCTGACATCCACCACCACTCCCCGGCATCAGCGCTGTCTGACCACAGGACAGAGTCCGAAAGCCGGCAGCCCCCAGGCTGAGCAAAGGGAACTTCCCGGGCAGCCTCTCCTTTTAATTGGTGCTAATTGCTGCGTCTGTTCGTGCTGGCTGGGGAGATGTCATTGTTGAAAGGCACAGAGGGGAAGGCTCGGGAAGCTAATCCAGCTTTCAGCCGCTAAGCCCTTCGAAGGCGGGTGATGGAGAAGCTCTTTCAGGTCCCTTCAGAGAGGGCACAAAGCCCGAGAGAGGGAAGGGAGAAAGAAGGGGAGCGAATCAACAGGAAAAAACTACTTTCACACGCAGCTCGAGGAAGGGTCTTTGTGTGCGGGGCTTTTGGGGGGGGGGGGGGGGGGGGGGGGGGGGGGCCGCGGGGGGAAAATGAAAATGAGGGGCTGCCGGGGGGGGGGGGGGGGGGGGGGGGGGGTTGAAGGGATGGCGCTGCGGCCCCGCCTCCTCTTCCCTCTCTCGTTTATCTTTTCAGCTTCATCAGCCAAAAGGGTGATGCAGCTGGGGGCTGGATGCTCAGAGCAAGGGACCGTCATCCCACCCCTGAACGAGGTGGACAGAAAACCTGCAGATGCTACTCAAAAATGAGTCCTCTCTGGTTTAACCCCTTTTGTGCTAGCAGAGCCACCTCCACTGCTATTGTGCTGCTATACTGGAGAATGTGGCAGTGAGGCAGGTGCAGAGTGGGGGGCACAAGGGGGCAGCCAGTGGCGTGAGGTCCTCCTTGTGTCCTGGGTGTTTCCATGGGCTCACACACCTGCTGAAGGCCTCCCCTGCCTGACCTGCAGCAGCCCTTACAGGGTGCAAAGTTGACGGGTTTTTCTGAGCTCCAAAACTCACCTTTCTGAAACAAGTGGAAAAACTCAAGGGCTGACACATTCCCACAGGGCATGAGGTGGCTTAAAGCATCAGCTCCAGCACTTGCTTTGAATCCACTGCCTTTTTAGCCATTCTTAGAAGAAATCTGCTGTAACATGTATATATTGAAGCGGACAGCTGGGTTCTCAACAAGACATTGATCACAAATACTAACAAGTCCTTCTGACCTCTGGCACATCCACTGAGCCTTTCAGAGGCTGATTAATGGTACAGCTCTCCCTTGTCTCCATCTTTCCGCCACCCCCTGAGACCTGGGCTCCTGTCCAGGAGGAGCAAAAGGCTGTTCCTCCCTCTCCCAGACGTTCACAGGGCTCTGGCATCCCCCAGCTCCATCCCAAAGCAGGACAAAAAGTAAAAGTCTCCACCAAAATCCCATAAAGATTAATGAGCAGAAAACCCAACTAATACCAGTTTGATGCTTTGGAAATGTTTCATTCTGTGACAATATTTTTAACTTATGGAAAGCTTTGCAAGGACAGACAAGCTAAAACCACCACACAGACTGAACATGAAGGATGAAATTTCAAACTGGAAACTTCAACCTCTGCCAGGTTTTTCTGCCTGCTCCCTGTCCCGAAGCACATCTCACAGGGAACTGCTGCGATTGCCCCTCCAGCCCATGGACAGCTAGTTTGCTGCCCAAGGGAAAAAATCCCAGAGGGGCATCCCACACTGAGGTCGGCTGACTGGCTGGAAGACACCAGTGATTTTTGAGAGGGTTTTGGAGCTTTGGCTCATGGTGGAATCACTGCATCTCTTACAGGACAACTGCAGCAGAGACAAGGTAGATAGCTGAGCCTTTCCCAATCCTCCAGCACAGGTGATACTCCCCAGCACCTCTGGACAACCACACTCCATTGTTTTGGCTCTTTGGCTCAGCACCCATCACTTCCTACCCTGATGACCTGTTTTAGCATTTCAGCCCCAGAGAGCAAAAACATTTAAAAATGCCTTACCCAGACACTCATTGGCCTCACGGGCACTAGCCCGCTGCCAGGGCCGGTCGTAGTGGAAGGGCTTGCAGCGGTCGCACTCGGGTCCCTCTGTGTTGTGCTTGCAGTCGCACACCAGTTTCTGCTCCTTATCCTTAATGCAGCGTGCCGCGTGCCCATTGCACTTGCAGCGCCCGCCGACCTGCAGCTCCCCCACCGCATAGTAGTAGGGGGTGGAGCCCGTGGCCCCCTCCTCCTCGCCAGCGTCCCGGCTGCCCAGGTCACGGATCAGATGCGGGCGGCTGAAGATCACGCGGATGTCGGTGGCCGTCACCCAGTCCTGGAGCACGGGGCTGCTGTCGAAGTCCTGGGCCGAGGGTCGCCCGTCGAGGGTGCTGAAGGCGATGAGCCCCCCGGTGAGCGGGTAGAGGTCAGTGAGGCCATCGGTGCACAGGGCCTCCTGCTCGTTCTGCTTGGTGACTGTGGCTTTGCTGGGCTTGCCGTAGATCTTACGGCACTGGGAGGAGTAGTACTGGTAGGGCACCCAGGTCTTGCCGTAGTCCATGGACTTGAGGATGGCGGTGGACTCGGGCCGGGGTGAGCAGAACTGGAGGCTGACGTAGACCACCTCAAACTTCTTGCCAAGGGAGAGGGTGAGGGTGACGTTCTGGGGTGAGTGGTGGAGGGTTTCCGAGCGCCAACAGGTCATGTTGGAGGCGGTGTTGAGGTCAGTCAGGTAGGCGGGTGGATGGGCTCGGCGGGGGTCCGAGGCATTGCAGTGCCGTGTTGGGGGCTTCCCGCACGTGCTGGAAGCTTGAACCTCCTTCCCAAAGGCAGCGTTGACAAATTCAGGGATGCAGCGTCGAGGAGCACCGCTCTCATCATAGCAAGGGTCTGGGGGGGTCTGCTGGGCCACGAAGGGGTTCACTGTCTGGGACAGGCCCAGCATGGCGGTGGTAAGGAGCAGGCGCAGGAGCTGCAGGACCTCCATCCTTCTGGGGAGAGGGAAGTGGCTCCTCCCTGCAGGAAGAAGAACAAGAGTGAGCGGTACCAGCAGTGTCATGGCCACAGCACCACCCATATTGGGAGGGCTGGTAAGGGATGGAAAACTCCCCCATGTCTGGTCCATCACCTGTACCCATCTTCCCACCCTGTATCCACTAATGCAGTATCCTGGAAGCAGGGCAGGGAGGCAATTACTTCGTGTTGTCTCATCCACACCAATCCCTCACTGCTCATCAGCGGGACTGAAATACCATGGAAATAGGAAAAGGGCCTGAGCTTTGAGTGCAAGGGGTTGAAATTGGGGTACAGCCCTTCCCTGGCCTCTTACAAACTTCCTGTGGTGACAGGAATGTTCCTGTCTGCCAGCAGCCCTGGCTGTCACACAGTTCAGAGACACTGTTACTGCATGGCTGACAAGGGCTGGTGGTGGGGAAGAGTTAGGGGAGATCTTTCAGATGCAACAGGAGCTACAAACCCCAAGTTATCCACCTGTGGCACAAAATAGCTCCTGACGGAGCAGGAGAAACAGACAGCAGCAAAAACACCTTGAAGGCACAGTGTGCAAGAGGCAGGGGCTCGTTGGCTTTCTTTGCTGGCCATGGGCACAGTGGCTTCTCCAAGCCAGGGGCTGGATCCCCTCCATATTCCTCTGCCACACTGCCCAGCAGCAAAGGAAGTTATTCTGGCCTCACCCCCAAGAAATCCAGGTCTGGGTCTGGTATGTTTGTTGACTGGGGGAAAGGCCAGGACCAAATCCAGGACCTGGCTGGGCCCTCTCTCAGCAGCTGCTGCACAGGGCTAGGAAGCTTAGTGGCTCCCAGGGGATGTGGCCCATCTTCTGAGTTATTGGCTTGAAGAGTGGAAAAGCTGTGGAGGTCACATTCCCTCCTGCTGGTTCTGAATGCATGAAGGACTTCCACACAATGCAGATTGGCCATGTCCCATTCTTGCCATAGCAGACCCCTGAGCCTCCCGGATGGGTGGGTGCCATCAGCCCTACCATCCCATGGGTTGTGCTGAGCCAAAGCCAAGTTGTCCAGCCTCGACCAGCCCAATGCCATGACCAGGCAGGAGAAGGGGTCCCCTGATTGTCCCCTCTCCCACTAGTAAATCTTTACAGGATGACTTGTGCTTCTGTCTGAGGAACAAAGCTCTGCATGACCTAGCCCAGTATCCCCAGCTCCAGCCTCCACCTACAGCCCCAGTGCCACTCCTGCCTGTCCAGCTGCCCACTCTGGCCAAAGGAGGCTCCAAGGAACAGCCCATTTCAATGACCCAGAACCTTTTCTTTGGTTTGTTATCCCATTTTGCAAAGAAAAAGGAGCCATGACTGTGGAAGAAAACAGCCTCTCCAGGCTGCCAAACCACTAATGAGGGGAAGCTCCTCCCTGCCCAACCACGGTCAGCCCAGCAGCCACAGCCTGTGCCTACCAAGGGAGCAATGGAGACAGGGGTCTCAGCCCATCCTAGGATATCTCTCCCAAGGCAAAACCTGCCCCTGCCACTTCCGTGCTGTTTCCTCATTGCTTAATCCTCTGCTGATGGAAAAAGAGATGTTAAAAATTGGCAGCTCCCTTGGTGGTCCCTGCATCACCCCAGCAGCACAGTTCCAGCTTTACCACAATGCTGCAGAGCCTTTTGGGGACATGTCAGCCCATGGTTTGGTGACTTGGCTGCCAGCAAGACAAAGGATACTGTCCCTGGAGTGCCCAGAGCATTGAGAACCCAGTACTTGAGGAGTGTGGCTGCAAGATTAGAGACTGCAGGGATGTAGCAGTCACCACAGCAGAGGAGGTGCCATGCCATGAGCACCAGGCAGTGAAGAACATTCCCCCTTGTAGACTGCAGGCAGCCTAAAGGGCCCTGTTGGGACTCCTGGCCCCACTGCAGGCAGCCGCCTCCTGGGCAGGAGATGAAGCTATGGCTGCTGCCAGATCCCTGCATCTGCTTGTTGAGCAGAGGGTGCAGCTGGTGAGACCCCCAACACAATCCTGACAGGACGACCCCCAACCCCTGCCTGGTGCTGAGCGGCGCACTGTGGGCACAAGAGCCTGCCAGCCCATTGGTAGAGCTCTGCTCCTGTATTCTCGCCCAGCAAGGTGCTGATGGACCCCCCTCAATGCCCGGCAAGACCCGGCCATGCACGTACTTGCAGAAACCAGCACAGCACCTTTGGCCCTGCCAGCCCTCTGCCCCTCCAGCTACACATCCCACAGAGGGCACACAGTCAGGTGCTGCAGCCATCGCCTCCCATTCCACCACCCGCAGGGCAGCACTAGCAGGGACACAACCCTGTGCACCAGGAGGAGAGAGGAGAAACCCCCAGGGGTCCACAGCAACTGCATCCATCCACTCCAGGGAGAATCAGGTTATATGGAACAAGGCATCTACTAAACCCTGCCAACAAAGAGTCTCCTCCACCTCCTCTCTGCTATGCGGCAGCAAGATGACAGGAGTAGGGACGTGCTCAAGCAAAGGCCTTTTAATTTCCTCTCTGGTAGGACACAAAGGTGTGGGGAAACCCTTGCCCAGGGGAAAGCGACAGCAGCAGCATCTCTGGTAGCCAGGGGAGAGGCCACAGAAGACCTGGAGCAGCAGGTCTAGGACCCAGGACTAGGTTACTACTGGTTTTAGGCACGCATGGGGTCATAAGCATTGCTTGCTCATTCTCCCTGCCCCAGTGGGGAGCTTTGTCCCTCCTGCCAGTCTAACCAAAGCACAAGTCCCTGAGGTTCAGTGTTAAAGTTTTGGTGGCTCTGCTGTGGGGAGCAGCCACAGGGGAGCCAACAGTCGCTCAGCAGCACATCAGCACTGCGGAGGCAGGGCAGGAGTGGAAATCATTATCATCCGCAGGACCACACACAGGCACTCCGTGCTCAGCTCACCCCATTATCCCACTGAAAGAGAGCTGGGACCAGTAGTCTCTGTGGGCCTCACCTCCGTATTGGAGAGGAGGGCAAGATGCAATCTGCTCCCTTTCATGCATATTCAGCGTGACCCTGGGACTGCCGGCAAGCTGCCAGAGAGGCCTGGGAGTGGGTATTTCTCTCCTTGGTCCCCATCTGCCCCCCCCTTCCACTTCCCATTTTTGCTGCCCCGGGCTCAGATCAAATGGAGACACTGCTGACTAAGCAGAAAGAACTGGGATGACCCCTGGGTGCCGAATCCAGCCCAGCATGTTCCTGGATCCGGCATGAAGAGGGGCATGAGCAATGGAGCCCCTTTCCCAGGGACAGCATCCCGAAAGTGTCCCCAGCAAGGGTCTCTGGTGGCTGCCAGCTCCCTGCCACCAGCAGCAGCCGTGGCCCGGGGAAATGCGGCAGCGGGGCTCACCCTTCCCGAGGAAGCGGCCACCCTCCAGCTCCTCCCCAGAAACGGCTGCATTTTTGAGGTGGGCGATTTCCTCACTCCTCCACCCCGGGAATGCTAACAGCCGTGCGGCTTGGAAGGAAGTCATGCTGCCAGAGTTCTTCAGAAGTGCTTTAAAAAAAAAAATTAGCTTCCACATCCAACACCTCCACACCCCTTCTCTCTACAACCACACACTTCCCAGAGCAACCAGCAGTGTTTCCCTGTCTTGTGGGAGACTTGTCAGGGCGATGCTCCAGCCCACCGTGGGCTTCTTTTCCATCATCTTTGCAGGAGGCAGTGCCACCGAGGGTGATGCTGGGTGCAGATGCATGCCTTGAGCTCCAGGTCTCCTGATACTGAGCTATGGGGTAGGTGCTTGGTTCCCAAAATAGAATGGATGAGGCAAGTGCAGCAGGTGAGGCAGGGCAAGGAGAGCAAACTTCCCACAACGTGGATGCTGGTCCCTACAGCAGGCCCAGGATCACCACCTGGCAGACTGGGGCCACAGCAACTTTGCTGAAGTAATTACAGGATTAGGTGGAACAACACAAGGCAGGGAGGGAAACAGGTTATTAACCAGATTTGATCCCAGGACCTTTGCAGCACAGGAGCAGCCTTCTCTAATTAAAGTGGAGGGGAAGGCATGAGTGGTGCTCTGCTGTCAGAAACATGTGGGCTTAGAGGGCAGGTGATGGCTAAAGCTGAGCAGCCAGCACTGCCCTGGAAGGGGATGGGAGAACCCCAAGGAATGACAGGGGAATGGAACTGCACTCCTGCCAGGGACCTGTGCTGCTCTCCCAGGCTGATGACCCCACACTGATGCTGCTGCCATGCTGCAGCCCACTGCGTTTCTCCTCCAGGCCAGGACAGCATAGTGTGTGGGGGAATTGCATCACTTGAGGAAAATACATGGCCTCACTTGGAACTGGTTGAGATGGGAATGACTGGTCCCCATGAGGTGCTGCAGCGGCCTGTGCACAGAGATAAGGTCCTGGGTGCCAGCAGGGATAGAGCCACCCACCCCCATGAGGCACAAACATGTGCTGCAAAAGCCATGGATCAGGAGGCAGAGATTCCTGGGCAAGGACCAAAAGACCTGAGTACTTCAGGGAGTCCAACAACTAAGACTCTTAGGTAAGACTGATTCAGGAGGACTGCTGGTTCCTGAACTGTGTCATCCCCAGTAAAGCCCACCAGCACCTCAGATGTCCTCTGTGAAGGAAGCCACTGGGAGGATGGGACAGGACCCAAAGCAGAACATAAATGATGTGCTCAAAGAAGCTGTAACCAGGCACAAATGACCAGAGCATGTCCCTTAACCAGGGTGTATCTGCTGCTACAACCTGCACATTTCTACCTTGTTACAGACCCTTTGTAATGAGGGCATCTGCACCCCCTTGCCACATGTGCTGTAGGAGCCACCCCGTGCAGCTCTGCCCCAGCCCATGAACAAGATCCATCCTGGGGCACTACCAGGGTCCCGGATACCCAGGTCCCTCTTCCACCATGCCGATGCCAGCTCAGGGAAGCTTAATTCCTCCAGCCAACAAACAGAATAAGGCCCAAACTTTGCTCTGGCTGTGGATAAATCATTCCATGTGTTACTGGGATATAAAAACACAACTGAGAAGTATTTAAAGTGAAAGGAAAAAAGGAAAAACTCCATGGAGCCAAGGTACTGGTCCGGCTCACTTTTCCAGGGGGAGGGAGTGTGCGCTGGGAGAAGCTGGAGGGATGCAGTGTGGCTGGGAGTGCTAATCGCCTTCCCAGCTGCTAATGGAGCAACTGGTGCCCACTTGGGACTTGGCTAATGGCACAAAGGAGATGCCTCACTTTCCTTTACAAGCTCCCTCATCTCTCCTGATATTTAAGTATCAGAAGCTTCTGAGTGCTTATGGCCCCACATCTGCAGGGCTGCCTACTCCACACAGCCCCTCGGGCTCAGCCTCCTGCACGCACAGCTCAGGGGGGCAATTACACAGCAGCATCTTCCTGCAGCAGGCACTGCAGGTGATGGATATTGCAATGCACTCTTGGCAGGTCGGAGCCAGAATTACACAAGCCATACGATACCCCAGCGGTGCCAGGAGACACGTACAAATTACACTGCACACAGGAAAGGATGGGCCAGATTCTGACCTCAGTGCTTTGGCATCAGCCCGAAGTAACTCCATTCACATCGGGCCAAACCAAGACGTAAGCAACTCCATTCAAATTTACACTGGCATACCTGTGGTCAGGATCTGGCCTGGCTTGAATTAGTTGCAGCCTGATTTGTTACAAAAGGCAGCAACAGAGCCCAGATTTCCAAGGTTATCGAAAACAATCAAAAAAAAAAAAAAGAAATCCACCATAAAACAAACAGTTCCCAGGCTACTCAGTTATGTGCATGGAGCTGTCATATGCAGGATGCTCGGACACATCCCTGCTCACCAGTTTCAGTAACTCATAAACTATGCTGACCACAGGAAGGAGGGACCAACACCCAGCATGGGTGTCCTGCTGGGTCTCCCATGCCTACTCTGCTCACCATTGGCTGTAGGTAGAGGAGACTTCAGCATAGTATCACCCATATGATGTGGACCTGAATCCATTTTGCTGCAAAGCTCTTGCATCCCCCAGCTAGTGCAAGCTGGAGGTCTCCTCCTAATGTTCCCAATGCAACAGCAGCTCAAGGAGACATTTGGAGCCCTTGACCTTGCAGGACAAGCAAGCACTGCCTGGATGCATCTGGACAACTCAGGGTATTCTACGGGTTTTTTTTCTACCCCATTTATTAACCTCTACTACATCTTGACCAGTTAGTTTTTTTTTACCCAACTCTAACCCCACTCCAATCTCCCAAACCCCTTTGCACATTCCTACCACAGTGCTTGGCTCTACTGAGTGGTCTCAGCAGCATCCCTCAAGGTGCAGAGGGTTTTCCTCCCACTACTCCCAGTGGATGCAAGGGACTCAGAGTTCCAGTCCAGAAGTCCTCATTGCCTCCACTCCTTTCCACTCTATATGAGAATAAAGTGATCTGGTTTCCATAACATCCCTCACTGCATTTTCACAACATGCCGGGCACAGATGTTGAAAATAGTCTGGATGAATATTTAAAATGGTATTCAGAAATGACAGCATTTGGCCAGTTTTGAAAGATCTCTCATATCGGGCAGAGGATGGCTCACAACAACAGGCTGGAAACACACTGCACTTTGACATCTCCTTTTTTTTTTTTACCCCCTCTCTGGCTATTGGTACAATATTTCATGCCCCTGGTGTCCCACAGTCTGTTATTGCTTGAGTGTCAGCCAAGCCTGCAGCATTAGGAAGAAGCTGTCGTGTACGTTTTTAAACATCATGGGGCAAAGCGGAATATGGAAAATCTGTCGCGTTTCCACACCGAGTGCAAGTGTCCTGCGCAGGCTCAGGGAGGGGCTCGAAGGGGCACAAAATAATGGCTTCCTTATGGGGCAGGGCCTGACTAACCAGAATGGGGGAACAGGAGGCAGAGGTGCTGCCTCAACACCCTCGACATGCTGGGCTGCTTCCCTGCTGAAGACGTCTCAGCACATCCCCCAAGGTGCGCACTGATGCTCACCTCCTTCTTCAGGGCTGGGGAAACCTCCTCTCAGAGTCACACCTCTGCCAGCAGCCAGCCAAGGTGGGACCTCCATTCCAGTCCAACCCAGACTGAACACACCATTGTTCTGGTGCTCAGAGAGCGGTGGAAATGCTCCTCAGCCTGGATGCCTAGCAGCTTGCATTTCTGGTGAGCATCTTGAGCTCGCTCAGCTGCATCCCTAGGCCAGGCTTCTCTCTTCCACAGCCTACAGTCACACATCAGCTCCTGCCCAGCCTGGCATTACATCTTCCCTCTTCTCTGCAGGGACCTACCTTCCTTCCACACACAGGTAGAAGAGGAAGGGGTGTTGGGACCCTTTCAGCCCACCCTGCTCTTGGACTGCTGGATCTCCTGTCCCCTCATCAGCCCACTCCGAACAGGTGTCAGAGCAGCACAGCAGCTCCCTCTGTTTTGTGAATGGGATATTGCAGAAAAAGAGAAAAAAAGTTGCCCTCCATCCATCCAAACACAGTGGAGGATGTTTCCAGCACACAGCCGAAAACCACATTCCTCTCTACTGGTTACAGAGAGCTCTAGCCTCTCCTGGCTCTGAGAGACAGGCAACAGCAAATTTGGCCAGGGAAGATGGATCTGTGGCATTTTCAGCCATGCAGGGTGTGCACATCCATGTCTGCACTCACTATTGCCTCAGCCTGGCTACTGGTCCAACACAAATGGCACGGATGGAGGTGGGGATCCTCAGCCTGGCTTACATCCCATATGTTCATGGGATGAGCTCCCTGAGAGAGGAGTGCTGCCTAGATGAGCATCAATCCAGCAGGACCCAGTGCTTCCAGAGCAGCTCGTGCTCCTGCCCACGGGGCCTTCCTCACCCACCCTGCTTGGTGACATAGCAGACTGCCAAGCACCATGTCCCCATCACACCAGTTAGTCCTCATCCAAGAAAGGTATTTCCACCCACCCACTCTCCAGTGGGCTAGGGAAGTTGCAGGATGGCGTTTTGAGGAAATGAGGTTTCAGCAGCTCCAAGAGAAGAAAGCAAAAGCAAACCCACCAAATGCAGCCCAGCTTCCCTTCCTGTGAAGCTGCTCACTCGCACGTTCACTGGCCAGAACTCTCACCCCAGATGTGGCTCAAGGGCCAGGTGCTCGGGGTGCCGAGGGTCTCACCCAGTCTGGCTCCAGAACTGCAACGGAGCAGAGCACATCCCACGGGAGCCGTTTCCAAAGGGAGCCGACTGACCCCACAGGGGAGTCTCTCAGGGCAGCCGTGCTGCGAAGGGACCAGCGATGGACCCCAGCCTGTGATGGTGACAAGAGCGATGCCGCCCGCCCAGATGGCTTTGTGCCGGCGGAGCCCTCACGGAGAAGGGCCTGCGGTGGGAGCGGCGGGCAGGGGACCACGTGCATGCCTCGTGCCCGGTCAGCCGGGGCTGGCACCGCAGGCTCGGCCTGGCAGGGCTCCCGCCGCTGCCCGCACCGCAGCCGCACGGAGCGGGGCCGGGGCTCCGCCGGGCTGCGACACTGCGGGGCTCCCTGCAGCGCCGAGAACCCCCGAGCCGGCTCTGCGGGCGGCGGCAGCGAGCCGGGCCGAGCCGAGCCGGGCCAGAGTGCGGAGCGGCGGCCGGAGCTGCCCGGGGACGACAGCGGGGCTCAGCGGCGGGCGGGCGGCCCCGCTGCGGGGAAGTCCCGTTCTCGGCGGTGAAAGGATGGAAAGGGAAATAAAGGGAGGGTGAGTGCGGGGGGAGAAGGAGGAATAAAAGGCAACGAGGGAGGGAGCGGTGGGGAGGAGAGCGGGAGCCCGGAGCGCCGGGAAGTTGGGAGCGCAGCTTACCGCGGCCGGGCAGGTAGCGGAGCCGGTCTGGGCGACAGGTCCGGGAGCGGCGGCGAGAGGAGCCGGGGCCGCGGCGGGGCGGACGGCGGGCAGGGGTAGCTCCTTCCCGGTGCTGGCCGCAGCACGAAGAAAGCAAAAAAAGTGAAGAAAAGGGTGTGTGTGGGGGGAAAGCAATGATAACAAATTTCCAGGGAATCGTGCGTGAGGGACGAAATAAAGCGAAATAGTGGAAAGCGGGAGCGCTGCTCCCGGCGGTGCGGGCGGGTCCCAGCGCCGTGCCCACAGCCGGCCGCGCTCCCGCCCGCTCCACCGTACCGCCCGCGGCTGCTTCGGCTGCGGGAGGGAGGGGGGAGGCGGCAAGGGAGGGCGAAAAAGGAGAGGAAAGGGAAAACAAAAAACACCCCTTAAAAAAAAAAAAAAAAGAAAAGCAAGAATTGGAGAAACTGAGCCCCGACCACCGCCTGGACGTGGAATAAAAAGACTCCAATAAATCCCGGGTTGAAAAGAAGGGAAAAGTCACCTCCCCGAGGAAATCAGAAGCAGATTTCGAGCCATTTAATCACATGCAGGGAGGTGTGTGCGTGTGCGCCGCCCGCCGCCGCTGCCAGCCCTGCCTCCGCCCTCCGCCCCGCCGGCAGCCCAGCGGGCAGGGCTGGAGCCGGGCGGGAAGCGGGGCCGCCCCACCGGCGGGCAGCTCTCCCCGCGGGGTCCCGGGTGCCGCCGGTCAGCGCCGCGGGGGTCCCGGTGGCCGCGGTCCCACCTGCTTCCTGGCCAGTCCCGCTGCACCCCGGGAGTTCGCTCAGCCCACAGCGGGTCCATCCCCGCGGAATGCGGGTGGCTGCCGGCCGTAGCCCACCACGCCGAGGGCTCAGCGGTGCCGCAGCCAAGGCAGCCGATTATTCTCCCTCTGCTTCCCAAAGCAAATGAGGCATTTACCAGGCGGAAGCAGCTCCTCTTATGGAGAAAGCTGGAGTCTCCGCTCCATCCCGTGGTGCAGGGGCTTTTTACGCGCTGCTGCACCAGAGTCGCCCTTGGTCTCTGATTTTTGGGTAAGGAAGGAGAGAAGCGGGGCATTTACGTACCCAGCACAGCTGCCTCCAGGCTGCCCCCGGGGGCTGCTCCGCTATCCCCAGACCACCTGCGAGCGGGCCACGAAAAGGTGAAACTAATTTAACCAGTTTGTGCGAGGCGGTGGAGGAGAGCAGGAAACTCGGACCTGGATTCTCTCTCTCACTGGGGCCGTGTTCACAGCCCTGTGGCCCCCACATCTGCCAGTTTGGCCTGGGGAACATCCTCTTGCAATTGCCCTTGCAATGGATGTGAGGACTGAAGCACCGGAGGTGGGAAGAAGGGCAAGGTGCCAGCACAGTGCCCATCCGTTATGTTCAAAGCCCGCACCCACCATCACCCTGCTCCCGGGGGACCCCTGGTTACCCACATCCTGTTGCTCTGGGGCAGCAGGTTGCAGGAGCAGCTCTCCCAGCCGGCTGGCAGATGCTCATTGAAGGAGCAGACCCCAGCTGGCTGCGAGCCCCAGGGGAATTGCTGTTTGCTGCTCTCTGCCTTGTTGCACTAAAGACGTTTCCCCTCCTATTCCAGCAGCAGGGACGTGGATAAGCAAGAGTGAAGTCACCAGGATGGAGGAGACCTTGGCCATGAGCAGGGAAACATCCAGGCTCTAAGTCCAGTGCTATGGGTGTCTTGTAGCCCTTGTCTCTCTCACATTTGGAGAGCTGGGCAGTCAAGCCAGAGGCCATGAAAGCAGCTCCAATGCAGCTGCTAGATGGGACACTAGTGCAGGGCCAATGTTTGCTTTGTGTGTGATCACATTAGACTGCGGGACTGAGCAAGGCCCAGCGTTGCCAGGACAGTGTGGCACCATGGAGAGGCTGGGATGGTGAAGGCAATAGGGCAAAATGGGGCATGGCTAGAAGATCATGAAGTGACATGAAGCAGGAATTGTCCAAGGGATGGACCTGAAGGCATTTTCCTCACCTGGAAACAGAAGGACAACCATGAACAGGAGCTGTGATACTGACCCAGCCTGACCTGGCCACTCCAGGGTGGTGCTGAGCTGGGGGCCTGCATCACCACAACCTCAGTGCTGCTGTTTGCACACCCATTGGACCCCCACCCTCCTGTGACTCAAACATGGTGTTGGAAGTGCTGGCCACCATATGGAAAAGTTTTGGGGCTGCTCTCCACAGGCATTACATCAGTGAAAGCCCAGTTGAGATGGGCAGAAGCTGTTTCCTGAATCCCTGTTTCCCCTATTCCCTCTTCATAGGATGGAGAGCCTGAGAGAAAGGTGTAAATCTGGGTTTGGCAAATGGGAGTGCTACAGACATCAGCAGGGATGGAACACTCACTGAGGTAGGAATCAGACTGAGACTCTGTTGGTGTTCCTCAGCATGCTGACATTACCCAGTGTTCGCTGCCTTCCTGGGCAGATCTGGACTGGCAGGACGAGAGGGCAAACACGCTGTTTGTCACCCTGCAGTCTGCAGGAAGCTCTGCCCATTGCAAGCTCCCGTTCTGCATCCATTCCTGCTCCTTGTGCCTCATGAAAGCACAGCATCTGGTGCCAGCCAGCCCTCCCAGTCAACAAAGGATTGCTGAAAGGACACACACATCCACAAACTGTTGGAGCAAAAGCACCAGCACCAAGTCAGCTGGGGCAGATACAGAATTGTCGAATGGGTTGGAGGGACCTTAAAAGATCATCCAGTCCAATTGCACAGCAGGGATATCTTTCACTAGACCAAATTGCTCATTCAAACCTATCCTTGAGCACTTTCAGGTATAGGGCAGACATAGCTTCTCTGGGCACCCTGTGCCAGGCCCTCATGACCCTCCCAGGGAAGAATTTCTTCCCAGTATCCCATCCATCCCTGCCCTCTGCCAGTGGGAAGCCATTCCCTATGTCCTATCACTGCAGAGGCCCTCTCCAGCTCTGTTGGAGCCACTTTAGGAATTGGAAGGGGCTCTAAAGTCCCCCTGGAGCCATCTGGCCCCCAGGCTGATGCCCTCTTTTACCCTCTGTACCTCGCCCCCCCACCATCCCCACTTCCCCTGCAGCACACGCTCAAAGCCGGTCCAGCCCTGCAGAGGACTCCCCTGGCCATTGCCTTGTGCTCACAGAGCGGCTCGGACACAGCACCGGACAGCGGAGAGTGGACAGCGGGCAGCGGAGAGCGGGGAGCAGAGAGCGGGCAGCGGGGAGCGGAGAGCGGGCAGCAGAGAGCGGGCAGCAGAGAAGCGGAGAGCAGAGCGCGGGCAGCCGAGTGCGGGCAGCGGGCACTCGAGCCCCCCTTGCCCCGCGGTCGGTGCGCGGCGCTCTTGCGCCCCCTGCCGGTCCCGCCGCAGCGAGGAGCCGCGGCCGCGCAGGGCAGCGGGGTGCCCCGGTGCGCGGTGACGCCGGGGCCCGGAACCCCCTGGCTGGCTCACTTGCTGATGAGCCCAGCTGTAATCCAGTCCACAGCCCCGCCCCATCACGGCGTGTTGGAACGGCTCCTTGAGGTGAAGGCTCATGTTTCCAGACAAGCAGGGAAGAGACCCTACATACTGCCTTGCCACGTCCTTCTTCAACCTCTTCACTGGAGAAGGAAGAGGTTTACTGCCAGAAGGGAGGACTCTTTCTTTTGACTGGTCCCAGAGGCCCTTCTCCCAGTGCACTAAGAGAGGAGGATCCTGTTTCAGCCACTGGGTCATCCTCAGGATGACTCCATAATTCTCATGTTTCTCTTCTTTCTGTGCTATTTACTCTTCCAAGGGCACCTTATCTGCCTCCCTTTTGGGACTATCAGTCTCCCGACAGACACATCTGCCTTCCCACCCTGTGCTCAGAATCTGTTCCCACACGTGGTTTCTTCTGGAGGGCAGATCACAGCAGCTGCTGCCAGGAACTGATATGTGACCTTGCAGGGAGGTACAGGCGCTCTCCTCGTGGGGTGTGATTTGCCCAAGGCATCCTGCCATGCTCTGTCACACCAGTGGCTTGGGACCCACCTGAGCCTTAGCAGCTCCTTGGAGTCTGTTCCCTCCACCCTGACTCTCCTGCTCGCCACCAGCCTTCCCGCAGGCCCAGTGCATCCATGATGCATTTGGGTCCTTCCTCTTGCTCTGCACAGCTGGGGAACACAGATGTCCTGGGCTGCCTGCCCAGCCTGGGGTCCACGTGCTGGCAGCACCCAGGGTTTGAGCACTGTGGGAATATGGTGGCAGCCCAAATAGGCACTCCCTGGGGACCTGTAGCCCTGCTCTGGGCCGCAACAGCTCTTCTCTGCCACCCAGAAAGGCCAGTAGGGGCAGTTCACCCTGGTGGAGACAAGGTTTGTTGAAAGGTTTGCAGTGAGTGTGGCTTGGGGAAATGGAATCCAGTGTGACATCACCAACAAACCCAGCATATAATTCTATATAACCCATATAACCACTGCAGTGTCATTACATGGACTATGCCCTACCCTGCCCCTGTTCACCCCAGCATAAACATTGCACAGGCCTGGCACAGTGCTGGAGCTTCAGCGTACAGCCCCAGGCTAAGGTGGGGCAGCGCAAGGGACCACAGTCTGCTAGCAAGGCTGGAGAGATGCTGAACCTGCAGCAGTGTGTGCTGAGGCTATGTTCTGGTGACATTGCCATTCCCGGTCTTGGACTGGAAAGATGCTGCACAGGTTGGGGACAATGTGCAACACAACCCTCAAACACACTCCATGCCCCAGGAGGTGGCAGTTCTGCCAGCACTCCAGGTCCTGCTCTTCTAGCACATCTTCAGCTCAGTGTTATCCCCTGTGACAACTTTTAGCCCATGGCAAAGGGATTTGCATGGTGCTGCTTACAGTGAAAACTTTCCTGGACAGTGCTGAATGTGATGAGTATGTCCCAGGTCACCCTATTCAGCAAGCAGCTGGGGTCAGGAATTCATTTTGTACCTCTTTCTCTCTCATCAGCTTCCTGAGCTGCAAGACTAAGCCAGGCCCTTTTACTGAACATGCTTTGGTTCATCTTTATCTAATTCCATCCCCTCATCACTGCCATGGCTGTGTGTGCAGACCACTCAAGAATGTTACCCCCACACCTTATGCTTCTGTCTGCGCCACCCTGCTCTGCAGCGACTGCTATGGCACCGATACGTTCCTTCCCCACGGCAGGCAAAGGGACACACGTGTCCCCAAGGGCGCGATCGCAGCAACCCGGGGGGAGCGGCGGGTGCGCCCCGGCCCGGCTCGGCCCGGCGGCCGCGAGATGGAGCCGTTCCCCCGCGGCTGCGGCCGCCGACCTCGGTCTGTGCCGGGGAGAGGCT